AGGATGTGATCAAGAACTGTTAGGCACTTTGGAAAATGCTTTTAAGAATTGGGCTTCAGATCATGAACACAACACTTCCCTGCTTTTTTTTCAAGCAAGCTGAATTTTTCCGTGCTTCCATGCCGAAAAAAGATGTTGCTGTTTTCAGAAACACATGAACTTCAACTTCTTAAAACAGCAGCATCTCCATTTCAGGCACCCACAGGAGGCCAAGGAAAGACGGCTGTTTGAAGTAATAGCTGAGCGATTCTCACCAAAGAATTCCCAAAGGATGCACGGCTCTGATTATTAGCAGGTGAAAAAGAGAAGAAAAATATTGGGAGAAATTTCTTGTGGAAAAGCAAACTATGACTCTTTACCAAGTTAGTTCCCTTTATTGTCACTGCATCTCATGCAACGAAATTAAATGCCATCTTCAGTGTACATTGTAACTATAAAAATAAAACAAAAACACACTTCCTTCACGTTCTAAACAATTGAACTGAAAACCCAATATTGCATTAACACTGCACGAAATCCAGTATTAATAAATGCAGGGTTTGTTTTGTGCCCCTTGGAAGAGAAATTACTTGTGGTTATTCCCACCGTGTTAGCGTGAAACACAATTTTAATTATTTATAATTTAATGTAACAGTCGGCTCTGGGAGTTATATTACATAACTCCTTCCCATATGTAAGTTCTTCACCTAGCAGGAAGAACATGCTACTCATAAGGGAGAAGAAGGTAGCTCAATCAAATAGTGTCACTTGGTTTATCATTTAAGTTGTGGCTGGAAGAAAATCCCAAAATAAATTTCCTCCCCCTAATTTGCTTCAGTCCATTGACAGTTGCTGTTTGGTGGGGGTGGGGGGTTGAACTGAGAAAATGACTGGCTCAAAATCCTCCAGGGAGCGTCTGCGACTTATTGGGGGGACTGGATTATTTTTGGGAGGGTCTCCTGACTCCTAGCCTGGCACCTTCACCAGCCCCAGTGTCGGAGAAGGAGGGATTGGCCTCTATTCACAAGAGAATCCCTTACATCACCAGGCTTGAAATTTTGGGCTTAGAGAACTTAGAACTACGCCACCTTCGGTCTGAGCATAGTGCACAAAATTATCTGCTACAACATCCTACCTGTCAATGACTTCAACTGCAATAATGCACAGGCAAACAATGGATACAAACTCAAGGTAAACTGCTCCAAACTCGATTGCAGAAAACACGACTTCAGCAACTGAGTGGACAATGCCTGGAATGCTCTACCTGACTCCGTTGTTACATCCTCAAACCCCCACAGCTTCAACCTTAAACTGTCTACCGTGGACCTCACCCCATTCCTAAGNCTTCTGTTCCATGGGTTGATTGTTCTCACTGTCAGAAAATATTTCCAGGTGGAATCGCTCCTTGATCAATTTCCAACCATTATTCCTTGTCTGGCCTTCAGGTGCTTTGGAAAATAGCTTGACCTCTTCCTCTCTGTGGTAGCCCCTCAAGTATTGGAAGACTGCTCTCCTGTCTCCCCTGGTATTTCTCTTCACTAGTCTAGCCATGCCCAGTTCCTGCAACCGTTCTTCATATGTTTTAGTCTCCAGTCCCCTAATCATTTTTGTTGCTCTTCTCTGCACTTTTTTTAGAGTCTCAACATCTTTTTTATAGTGTGGAGACCAAAACTGGATGCAGTACTCTAGGTGTGGCCTTACTAAGGCTTTATAGAGTGGAATTAATACCTCCCTTGATCAAAGCCCTACCTTTCAGTTTCCTTAAAACAAGCTCAGTTCCTGGCGACTTTATAAACTCATCCTTATTGTTTCCTTGGCAACAGTATAAAAGTACTTTGTTGTCTTCTAAAAAGTCCAAAGCTCTGGGCTTTTGTGATGGTCTCTCATTCAAGAGTTGACTAGAGTCAACCCTGCTTAGCTCTCCAATCCAGATCAGGTCACACATTGAGACACATGGCACCAGAGATCAGTAACATTCTGGATCTTGTTCTTTGGTACTAGACAGTTAGAAGTGAGGAGAACATAAAGCAGGGAAGACAAATCACATTTTAATTTTTTTTCCTACCCTGGTGTGTGGAATGATGTGATTCAACCTTATTATATTATTTTGGAGCCTTAGAAAAAGGGTTCAAAGCAAACTTTGGTGCTTTTAAAAATGGACAGGCCCACCTCTGGGAACTGGTGATTTGTTTTAATAAGATAAGCAATATGGTGGGAGGGGATTATAAGAGACCCCTCCATAATTGGGGTTGGGGACTGTATGCAAGTTACTCTCCCTCCCTCCATATAAAAGCATCAACGCTGCTATCATGTATTCTGAGTCATTCAGACATTTGAATGTTTCTGTCTGTGACAGTTCAGTGAACACATTGTGACTGGTGCTTGCTTAATGGTCTAATCAGCCAAGGATTTGCCTGCCCTTTGAATAATTGTCTAAACTCATGATTACTCTTGTAGGGTATTCATATGCTAAGAAGATGAATGATGAGTTAAGAAAAGAAGAGAAAGAGTGGGAGGCAGGGGAAGGGAAGGGGCAAAGGGGAAGGGGAGGAGAGAGGAGGAGAGGAGAAGGGAGGGGAAGGAGAACAGGAGAAGGGAGAAGAGGGGTCGGGAGGGGAGGAAACATAAGGGAAGGAACAAGAGGGGAGGAAAAGGGAGGGAAGGGAATGGAAGGAATGGAAGAAAGGAAGAAAAGGAGATAGGAAGGGAGGGGAGGAAAGGACAAGAGGGGATGGAAGGGAAAGAAAAGGGAGGGAAGGGAAGAGAGGGGACAAGAAGGGAGGGGGATGGAGAAGAGATGGGAAGAGAAGAGAGGAGCTAGGAGGAAGGTAAAAGAAAGGAAAGGAAAAGGAAAAGAGAAAGGAAAGGAAAAGAGGAATGCAAAAGGAAAAGAGAAAGGGAAAGGAAAGGAAAAGGAAAAGAGAAAGGAAAGGAAAAGAGGAAGGAAAGGAAAGGAAAGGGAAAGGGAAAGAGAAAGGGAAAGGAAAAGAGAAGGGAAAGGAAAAGAGAAAGGAAAGAAAAAGAGGAAAGGAAAAGAGAAAGGCAAAGAGAAAGGAAAAGGAAAAGGAAAAGAGAAAGGAAAGAAAAAGAGAAAGGAAAGGAAAGGAAAAGAGGAATGGGAAAGGAAAAGAGGAATGAAAGAAAAGAGAAAGGAAAAGGAAAAGAAAAGGGAAAAGAGAAAGGGAAAGAGAAAGGGAAAGGAAAAGAGAAAGGAAAGGAAAAGAATGGGAAAGGAAAGGAAAAGAGGAAAGGAAAAGAGAAAGGGAAAGGAAAGGGAAAGGAAAAGAGAAAGGAAAGGAAAGAGAAAGGGAAAGGAAAAGAGAAAGGAAAGGAAAAGAATGGGAAAGGAAAGGAAAAGAGAAAGGAAAAGAGAAAGGAAAAGGAAAAGAGAAAGGAAAGGAAAAGAGGAATGGGAAAGGAAAGAAAAAGAGAAAGGAAAAGAGAAAGGAAAAGGAAAAGAGAAAGGAAAGGAAAAGAGGAATG